AGTATGTTCCCAAACTTAATAATATTCACCTATTGAGAGTCAAGACCAAATTTCCCACATTTTGTCCCTTCAACCCCCAAATCAAAATGGTAGTATTTAATTATGAATGAGTAATGCCTTTAAGAATAACCTTTATGTGTAATACAAATAATGTATATATGAATCCTAAAATATGCTGTCCAAGAGTTTGCTCTCTGTTTTCAAAATTGAATAATAATCAGGAATCAGTAGAAGCAGTTTGATGAGGTTCATTAAATAGAGGTAAGGTACTACAACCCAATGATATACTGTATGAAAATCCTCCTGTAAGCGACTCTCTGTATGGCGACTGGCACATAGAAATGCACATGTGCACCACACCACACATAGAATAAGCACAGACAAATTACTAATAAAAATGAGCATAGGCTCACGCATGTGCAAAAGAATGCACAAGTGCTTGCACACAGGAGCGTGCCCACAGTTTCTGGTGCCAGACAGGCTAATTAAGGGAGGGTCTTACTCTCTGTCAGTGCTGATTTGGCTTCAGTTGTTACCTTGTGTCCTGCTTGTATCCTGTGTGTTATCTGTTGCTGACCTGGCTTGTCATTGGTTTCTGATACTGGCTTATTTCTGACCACGTTCCTGTCTGATGTTTTGGTACCTCATCGCCTGCTTGCTGCTGACCCCCCTGACTACGCTTTTGGCTTGAATGCGGCTCTACAGACCCTCTGTCTATCATATCGGCTCCAGCTGTCATGGTGTGTTCCAGCCCCACACTTGTTAGAAGTTCTGGCAAGCCACGCACCCAGATCTTGCAGTTCCGGTGGAGTGCTCCTTTAACCTGGTCGTTCCTGCATCTCCTCTGTTCCTGATCGAATGCCCTGCCTGATCTGCATAGTTTACATCTCCAGCCGCAAGTTCTATAATCAACATTTGCAGGCACTCGTGTTCCTCCTGTCCCTCGGCACCATTTGTTCCACCTTCAGTGGGACCTGGGCTGGAGATACAAGAGAGGCCAACTTCATCATTGCAGACTTCTACCAGGTACGTGACACCTCCAGAGCTGACAGGTGCATAATGAGCAGTTGCACAGCTGCAAGCACAGTCATGAGGGAAGACAACTCCATACATGCTCTTTTAAAACCTTCAAATGTATTGAGTCTTCACAAAAGACACAATGTCAGTACAACAGTTGTTAACGCATTTCATCCTTGTTGGCCTTATTCATAACAAATAACTTGTTCAAAGACAAAACAATATATAGTGTTTAACACCACTCCTAATGACATATGTAACCAACGGGGGGGACTTGCCATTTGAGCACTCGGGCACTGCCCGAGGGCCCGGGGTCAGTAGGGGGCCCCATGAAATGCCCCTGGTACCTTTTTTATAGACTTTTTGGGGTGTGCTTTGTATGTGGGCAAGGACACAGGGGCCCCATGATCCCCTATTGCCCGGGGGCCCCATGAATTGTCAGTCTGCCCCTGGTAACCAATTATCTCATTAATGAAGCAAGCATCAAAAAGAAAATAATTATGGGACAGAAAAATTCAACAATCATGAGAATGAATTCCTCTAACTCCTGTGAATAGGAAATGTATTTACTCAGATGGTGTTGAACAGCCTACAATCCAACGCTGTGGGGAATTGAGGAGTACAGTGCCTTTACATCCAGGGCAACCCATAAGTAATTGGATGTCCATAACATACAGTGAGGAACAGAAATATTTGAATACCCTGCGATTTTGCAAGTTCTCCCACTTAGAAATCATGGAGGGGTCTGAAATTCACATTGTAGGTGCATTCCCACTCTGAGAGACAGAATTTAAAAAAAAATTTCAGGAAATCACATTGTATGATTTTTAACCTCCTTGGCGGTATTCCCGAGTGTAGCTCGGGGTAACATTTCAGTACCAAGAGCGGTAACCCCGAGCTACACTCGGGAATACCATGCGGCACTGCTCCGGCATTTGTTCTTCACTTATCTTACCCTGCGCTCCCACGATGTGTCCCCTGCAGCGTCCCCGGCCATCTCCTTCGGCCGATGCCGGCATCCGGCTTCTGTGTCCTGTCCCTGTGACGTCGGGACGTACGGGCGCCGCCGCCGGCGGGAAATTTAAAAATTTTAAATAATGTCATTTTTTTTTTTTTACATTTTACATAGTAAAACATTGCCCTGCCTGCATTTTGTCTGTTCTTTCTGCCTGGAAACTGAGAAACGTCTATGGCGTCCAAAAAATGTCCCTTTAGGTCAAAAGCGATTTAGACCGGCTAGAGAACAGCGATAGTAAATCAGAACCACTTGCAGAATTGAGTGATAATGATTCGTGGGGGAAATTTGTCATCAGACACTGAAAACGATTTTGCGACTTTGCTCAGCAATGTGCGAACTTATTATGGCGCTATATTTCAAATTTCAGTGTTTTTGGTTTGATTATATTATTGAATTAAATGTATTATTATATTATTATTATTTTTTATGATTATTTATTAAATTATAATTTATGATTTTGTGTTTCAAATTTTATCCTACCCGGGATGTTTACTAGACTCTTGTTCGGACAGATTTCAGTGAGTTATTCCTAAAAATTACAGCCTACAATAAAAAAACTACGTATTTCCATGCAAAATAATGGTACCGCTTTCAGCACCAAAAATCTGAAATAATCATACCGCCAGGGAGGTTAAAGAATTTATTTGTCTTGCACTGCTGAACATAAGTATTTGAACACCTAAGAAACCGCATGATTTCTGGCTCTCAAAGACCTGTTACTGTGCCTTTAAAAAGTCCACCTCTACTCCACTCATTAATCTAACTTAGTAGAACCTGTCTGAGCTCTTTAAAGACACCTGTCCACCCCACAGTCAGTCAGACGCCAACTACTACCACGGGCAAGAGCTGTCAAAAGACACCAGAGACAAAATTGTGGACCTCCACAAGGCTGGAAAGGGCTCCGGGGCAATTGCCAAGCAGCTTGGTGAAAATAGATCAACTGTTGGACCAATTGTTAAAGGGGCTAAAGGGGCTAAAGACGACTGTCAGTCTCCCTCGGACTGGGGGGCTCCATGCAAGATCTCATCTCGTGGGGTATCACTGATGATAAGAAAGGTGAGGAATCAGCCCAGAACTACAAGGGAGGAGCTGGTCAATGACATGAAGAGAGCTGGGACCACAGTTTCAAAGGTCACTGTCAGTAGAACACTACGTTGTCATGGTTTCAAATCATGCATTGCACGGAAGGTTCCCCTGCTCAAGTCATCACATGTCCAGGCTCGTCTGAAGTTTGCCAATAACCATCTGGATGATCCAGAGGAGGCATGGGAGAATGTGGTCAGATGAGACCAAAGTAGAACTTTTTGGTCTAAACTTCACTCGTCGTGTTTGGAGGAAAAAGAAGGATGAGTTGCATCCCAAGAACACCATCCCTACTGTGAAGCATGGGGGTGGTAACATCATGCTTTGGGGGTGCTTTTCTGCAAAGGGGACAGGATGACTGCACTGTATTAAGGAGAGGATGAATGGGGCCATTTATTGTGAGAATTTGAGCAACAACCTCCTTCCCTCAGTCAGAGCATTGAAGATGGGTCGTGGCTGGGTCTTCCAACATGACAACGACCCGAAGCACAAAGCCAGAATAACCAAGGAGTGGCTCCGTAAGAAGCATATCAAGGTTCTGGAGTGGCCTAGGCCTAGTGGAGCTGAAAACTCCGTGTTGCTCAGCGACAGCCCCGAAACCTGACAGATCTTGAGGAGATCTGTGTGGAAGAGTGGGCCAAAATCCCTGTATTTATGTACTTATGTTCAGCAGTGCAAGAGAAATAAATTCTTTAAAAATCATACAACGTGATTTCCTTAATTTTTTTTTTAATTCTGTCTCTCAGAGTGGGAATGTACTTACAATGTGAATTTCAGACCCCTCCGTGATTTCTAAGTGGGAGAACTTGCAAAATTGCAGGGTGTTCAAATACTTCTGTTCCTCATTGTAGAGTGTATATGTAGATGGGCAATCTCAAAACTAATGGTTGCAAGTGATAGTCTACCCACTCCCCTAAATGTTCTAGCAAGGAATCAATTCCAGCCACAATCGGGCGACTTTGGACCAGATCGCCCGGTTTTTGTGGATTTTTGGGTGGTGGTGGAACACTGGAGTTATAGGACTTTCAACATAGAGGTATTCTGCAGTTTTGGGGGACAATATACGCATTTCTTTCCCCATATGTAAAAACCTCAACATTGATATTGCTCTCTAGTTAACATCACCACCATTTTGCTAATCTCCAAGTTTCCAATCTACAAGTTTAAAATATCCAACTAAGTGATGTTCATGACTGCATTGTTTATTTTTGAGTTGGATTGTAGTTGGAGCAGTGTTTACCTGCATTTATTGTTGCTTTGTGTGTGCTTCATAGTTTGATTTTATTCCTTCATACAAGTTAAATTATATGCAAACCCTAAGCTCTGGTTTACACTGAATGTGACATTAAAGTCATGCTTATACACTTGAAGACTGTCTCCCCAGAGCAGGAAGTGTGTTTTTGGCAGGATCACCAGTTGAAACTAAAGAAAGAAGCCTGAAAAATGTATATAAATTTCAGCCACCACAGAGATAGACTGGAAACCTGCAATATATTGCATTTTGTTCTTGGGTTTAGATATACATTAATATGAACCAAACTACATCCCAAATGTATCTCAAATTCATGAAACTCTTTTTCTAGTTGCTATCTATAGTTCACTGTAGTCAATCACCTCTCAGATCAATAAGTGCAGACCTAAAATATACACATGCCAATTGGATTGTTTATAGTCCACCATACTTGACTAATATTCTTGCATTGACAGAGGACCAGTAAGTGTGGCTATAGACATATTCATTAAAGAGAAGAATACATGATGGGATGATGGGACATCTGTTTGTCCTTATGCTGAACTGGCATTTAGGTCTATTAAAACAATGTAAATACATTTCAACTCACATTTTTTGTATTGATTTTATGCAGGGGCGGACTGACAACTCATGGGGCCCCCGGGCAATAGGGGATCATGGGGCCCCTGTGTCCTTGCCCAAACTCAAAATAGCCTATGAAAAAGGTACCAGGGACATCTCATGGGGCCCCCTACTGACCTGGGCCCTCGGGCAGTGCCCGAGTTTCCAAATGGTCAGTCCGCCCCTGATTTTATGGAGACTGCCCGTGCCTTAAAATAGAGAGCTGTGACTCTGAGAGCTATTTCTGTCTGTGATCATCATCTGTTGTGTTGTAATAAGCACACATAGGGAGAGATTTCAAAAACCTGGAGTGCAAAATCTGGTGTGGCTCTGCACAGAAATCAATCAGCTTCCAGGTTTTATTGTCAAAGCTTAATTGAAGAAGATGAAGTTAGAAGCTGATTGGCTACCATGCACAGCTGCATCAGATTCCAAGTGCTCCAGTCCTAGTAAATCTCCCATATAATCTCAAAATGTTGTACGCTATAAGTAGTCAGGGGTGTATTTTACCACAAGGCAAACAAGGTATTTGCCTAGGGCGGCATTTTTCAGGGGGGCAACACTTCCCCTCAGAAGAAGGGACAGAAGAAGGGACACTCCCATCGGCATCGGGACCTGGTAGGTTCTGAGAGAGGCTGCGGGTTTCATGACAGTGTATGCACAGTCAACTCTCGTTTCCTTGGATGTCCGGATTGTGAAGGTGTCTCTCTCTCACTGTGGGGATATTTTGGCTGGCTGGCAGTGGTAGTGGAAGGCTCTCTCGGGTGGGAGGCAGGGGTGTGTGTTGGTCAATGTCAGGTTCTTTCTGCAGGGGGGGGCTTTTTGTGTTGCCTAGGGCAGCACACAACCTAAATACACCCCTGTAAGTAGTGCAGCTTTCATGTGGGACTAGGCAAATATCAGTTTGAAAGTTCACAATACAAACCATACAGTGCTGAAGGTAATTTCAATGTCTAATTTTTGTGTTTCTTGGCACAACAGATCTAATAGCCAAAATACAATTAAAAAAAAAGAATAAATAAAAAAAAAAATATATATATATATATATATTAAAATAGACAGCTTGCAGTTAAAAAACTTTTAGAGAATATACATAAAGGAAATTCACTAATAAACCAGGATAGGGATTTTGTTTTTTTAAAAAGTGAGTTATTTTAAGTTGGGTCCAATGAGATTTAAAATTACAGTCACATGCGAAAGGCCCCATTCATACTTGCACATGGTGCCATGTGCGATTTACATGTGGGAACCCCAGCAGTGGTTCCCAACAATTAAATGTGGGAAGCAGCCCCCACTGAAAGCAATGGGAGGCTGAAATCTTCAGCAGCAAATTATAGCTGCTCACATGTAATTTCTCATGGAGCAATTACCTGTGAGAGATCTGCCCTGAACACTGTCTTCATCCAGGACCAATCACTCGCTGGTAATCTCTCCATGAAAGATTACATGCAAGAGGCTGTGATTATCTGCAGGAGCTGTCATTTTCCTATTGCTTTCGATGGGGCTGTCTCCTGCAGCTAATCCAGCTGGGGGTTCCCACATGGTCCCATTCACTAGTATGAATAAGCCTAAAGGCTTTGTTGATTGAGCCCATAATGTGGTTTGTATTTGTTGCTCAGCTTCAGGTTGTATCACACAAAGAACAGACCCTGAATCCAACCTAACTTTGTCCCTAAACCTTCAGTTTTGTTATCTATCCCTGACTCTAAGGCACTGACTGACCCCTAACTCTACTACTGCTGTGTATATATTAATTATGAATGGGATCTGGGACTGTGATGTTAAATAATAATGGTGATATTATGGCACTGAGAGAGAGCAGCCCACATTAAACTATTATTACAACACACAGCAACACAGAAATAACTAGCTCAGTGAGGAAGTTATGAGCATACTTGATTCTGAAACTGGCAACTTCTGTGCCACTCCAGTCATTTATATAAATGTTGGGATACATATAATGCCACCTGGTTGGCTATGGTAGAGACCAGGCATATGGGAAGAAGGGTGGCATACAAAGCAACACAGGGAAACCCATCATTATTGCCAGGAACTGAAAATAGTGCTAGCGTTTCAATTTTAGATAAACATACAGTATGTAGATGTCTATATTGAGTGTATCAATGCAATATGGCTCCAGTCCTGGTCAACAAAAAAAACCTACTTAATGCTAATCAAGTATTAGGAGAAATGGAGGAGAGGTTAAAATAAAAAGCCCCATCATATATTTAAATATTCAAAACCTGTGTACATTCACGAGTCAAACATATAAGATCTAAAATGTTAAATGTATACACCTATGATTCAGTCATTGCTTGTAATTAACTTCTATTTAAATTACGTTCCTTTTACAGCTTATTACTCAGACCTGGCCATTCGGTGTCGAAATCTGCAAACTTGTCCCATTTCTGCAGAAGTCTTCAGTGGGAATCACAGTCCTGAGCTTGTGTGCGCTTAATTATTGATAGGTAAATTTTCTTTTCATTATACATCGTTTACTATTTTAATTAAGAACTTTTTTTTTGTTTTAAGCTGTCCTTACATAGGCTCAGTGGAGATTATGTAATGTTAGATGTACTACTATAAATTGTTCTGTATGAGCTAAAATTACTCCTAAAGCCTAACAATATCAGCAACTCCTGTACAATAAGTCCACATAGGCGCCAATGAGGTAGTATACAGAGGATCTAATTTTTCATGATATAGCCCCCTTAAGTCAATGCATGGCTGGTGCTAAAATTAATTTCTGCAAAAAAGATGAAAACTCTGGAGCAGGGCTACCGCTATGAAAGTAAGAAAGCTGCTGGGGTAGAAGAGTTAATGTAGATTAGGAAGACAAGAAGGGGTAGGTTGTTTTTAGTCTATAGAACGATACAGTTGTGCAGATTTTTAAATATAGCAACCAATAAAAAAAACAATCAGAATCCATTCTATACTAAGTCAGGCTAGGGCTTGGTTGCTAAGGGTTGTGTCAATTAAGACACTGGAGCATTATGAGTGTTTTAAAGAAAGAGCGCAGTAAAAACTGGTCATACACAGCCCAATATTTGCAAGGATGTGACCAATTTTAGCATTGCTTGCAGTAGATGGGTGATATCAAGTCAAATAAGGCTGCCCTAATGGTTCAAATTATGCATATCTCACTATCAGAAGGGCTTAGTATAGCATACAGAGATTTTCAACAAGTATATGCTGCATTCAGCAGGCCACTGGTGTGAGTGTCTCTGACCAAATAATCAGAAACAGACTTCATGAGGGTGGCCTGAGGGCCAGACGTCCTCTAGTGTGCCCTGTGCTCACTGCCTGGCACACTAGAGCTCAATTGGCATTTGCCCCTGAACACCAATCTGTCACTGGCGCCCTGTGCTTTTCACAGATGAGAGCAGGTTCACCCTGAGCACATGTGACAGACGTGAAAGGATCTGGAGAAGCCGTGGAGAATGTTATGCAGCCTGTAACATCATTCAGCATGATCGTTTTGGTGGTGGGTTAGTGATGGTCTGGGGAGGCATATCCAGGGGGGGATGCACAGACCACAGACCTCTACATGCTAGAGAATGGCACCCTGACTGACATTAGGTATCGGGATGAAATTCTTGGACCCATTGTCAGACCCTACACTGGTACAGTGGGTCCTGGGTTTCTCCTGGTGCACGACAATGCCCAGCCTCATGTGGAGAGAGTATGCAGGCAGTTCCTGGAGGATGAAGGAATTGATACCACTGAGTGACACCCATGCACGCCTGACCTAAATTCAATAGAACACCTCTAGGATATCATGTTTTGGTCCCTGTAATGTCATCAGGTTGCACCTCAGACTGTCCAGGAGCTCAGTGATGCCATGATCCAGATCTGGGAGGAAATACCCCAGGACACCATCCGTCATCTCATTAGGAGTATGCCCCGATGTTGTCAGGCATGCATACAAGCATGTGGGGGCCATACAAACTTCTGAGTACCATTTTGAGTTTCTACAATGATATTTCAGCAAAATGGGCTAGCCTGCTGCAACATTGTTTCACTTTGATTTTCGGGGTGTCTTTGAATTCAGTCCTTTGTAGGTTGATAATTTTCATTTACATTAAATGATGGGGCATCCTTACATTCCTAAAACATTACCCAGTCCATATCAGTATAGATATCCAGCATGAGATTTTTCCCCATTGAGAGCTGATGTGTATTCAAAGTGTTCCTTTAATTTTTTTGAGCAGTGTATGTAGCAGAATCTCTGGCTAAACAATCCACCCAATTTGTTGTCAGGTACGCTCTTGTACTAATGAAGATTGATGAATCAGATTGCAAGGTGCATGACCAAAATAAATTGCGCATACGATTTTAAATCAGACTGCAATGTGTACGGCCAGATTTAGTATTATCCTGACCAAATGTATAGTTATCTTAAAGTGATTGTAAAGCTTATTTTTTTGTTAAAATAATTAAAATGTTACACTTACTTGCTCTGTACAATGGTATTGCACAGAGCAGCTCCAAAGCTCGGCTTCTTGGGTCCCCCGCCGTCACTCTCTGCTCCTTCTCTGCTCGGGGTACCACCATAGAAGGCCCCTTGATTCCGAGCTGGGCTGTGTGTTTCTATTGACACACTCAGTGTGGCACAGCCCTGCCCCCTGTTCTCTGCTCACAGGATAGGTCTGACAGCAGACTGACAAGTCAATTGCTCCAGTTGCTGCCTCTGTGAGCAGACAGAGGAGAGAGCCGCTGCAGACAGGCACAGCACTGGATTAAGATAGGACTCTTGTAAGTATACAGAATAGTGAGGGGGCAATACAAGTACAGTGATAAAGGGATATTTTTTTAGCCTAATGCAGGAATGCATTAAAGTGGTATTAAACCCAAAATCAAAAACATACTTTATTGCAGCTTATCAATCATTAGGTGTGGTGGTTGCATTAGTTTTCCATTATTAGGCTTTTTCCCCTCTTTTTTCAGCTGGTGATCTGGCCAGTAACCCACCGTACAGAATTACATATTAAAAGCTTGGTCCATACAACAGACATAGAACAACCATGAAACAAATGAACTTAATAATGCATAAAAAATAGGTAACCAAAAATATGTATCCACAATTTTATAATTTTGGTCCAAT